TCAGGCATCAAGAAAGACATTGCTTAGAACAAGTCTCCCCCTCCCATACTGGGGATCGAACTCAGGGGCACTCCACCACTGAGCCACATCCCCAGCCCTGTTTTGTATTTTATTAGAGACAGGGTCTCACTGAGTTGCTTAAAACCTTGCTTTTGCTGGGGCTGGCTTTGAACTCCTCCTATCTCAGCCTACAGAGCTAGAACAAAAGTTTTATAAAACTAAAACAAACAAACAACAAAAAAAGAAACCTTAAATTTAAGAAGTAATTGTCCTTTCCAACAACTCTTTTTCCCCCTTCTTTCCTTCCTATCTATCTCCTATTTATTTATGATACCGGGGCTTGAACCCAGGGGAGCTTGGCAAGAGCTATATCCTCAAATCTTACTAAGCTGCCCAGGCTGGTCTAGAATTTGTAATTCTGCCTCAGGCCTCCAACTTGCTGGGATTACAGGTGTGTACCACCACACCCAGCATTTGCTATCCTTTTAAAAAACCAATTGTTTTGTAGGTTGTCCACATAATCATATAAGAAAAAATAAAAGAAAGGAAATCATTTAAGTGGTTCTACCTGAGGGTATTCAACTAGTTCATTTAATTCTACAAATCAGGAATTACAATGATAAAGTAAAATAAGTTTGTAAGTGTTTGGTGGGTATAAGGCAAGAAACTTAGCATGAACTTGTAGGAACTGACCTTTTAGGTACCTGTGTAAGGTCAAAAGTTTATATCACTATTATTTAACCAATCTCTATAATCAGAATTAAGAACAAAAGTTTGGTGACACTGTAATATTTTATAGAAAAGGCTGATCTAGGACAAAAGGTTCAACATTCAAATCATTCAATGCTATAAACTTTTTATTGGGTACTAGGATCTCTACTTAGCAACAGATGAATAAAATTCTTTCATTTTTTTTTCTTTTATCTGCCTAATTATATTGAGTGATGCTCTGATTTATAGTTCTTAGATTACCTGGGGCCCCAAAACTATTCCAATTAAGAGGTTTTAGTTGAGCACAGTGTTGAATGCCTATAATCCCAGCAACTCAGAAGGCTGAGGCAGGAAGATTGAAAGTTCAAGGCCAGCTTCAGTAATTTAGCAAGATCCTGTCACAATAAAAAGGGCTGAGGATTTAAATAAGTAATTAAGTGCCTCCGGGTTCAATCCTCCAGTCAGTACCAAACAAAACAAACAAATAAACAAGAAAAAAACCCCAAACCAAACTAACCAATCAACAGGTTATTTTAGTCTGTCCTGTATTTTACTGTCTTTGTAATGAACTATTAATGTACATGTAGGTAGTGTAGGTACCAGAAGAGTTGTTACTTTAGGTTTCTACAAAAGAAAATTTAAAAGGTAATCCTTCTCAGATTTATGATAAAGGTAAACTCTATACACACCGGGCAGTTCTATGAGAAATTATATTCAATAGAATGTTGATTTCATTTCCCCTAAACAATTATTTATATGGGAAGAACATGAGCGGCCCAAGCTCTATTTCCAGCAGATGCAGGAGAGTTCTAGCAGAACTCTAGCTCTGACAGACATTGATGAGCTGCTGGATCCCACCAAGGACAATCAACATTTCTAGGTCCCAGACTCCTTGTCTATCTATAAAAGACTATATTAAGATCGTCTTTGGGCCCCTTCCTGACCTAAAATTCTAAAATTTGGTTCCCTTGAAATTCAAAGTCAAGGGCTGGGGATATAGCTCAGTTGGCAGAGTGCTTGCCTCCTCACATGCACAAGGCCCTGGTTTCAATCCCCAGCACCACAACAAATAAATTCAAACTCAAATGTGTCCTTAAGAAAAGCCACCTTCCATCCCACTCCAAGGCAGGGTTATCTGGGCCTTTCTTGACATTCCATCCTAGTTTCTTCACAGTTTATTAGGATAAT